GCACTGTAGCTCAAGTGGTAGAGTGCTCGCCTTGAGCTGAAGAGCTGAGGGACAGCGCCCAGGCCCAGAGTTCAAGCCCCATGACTGACAAAAAAAAAAAAAGTCTATAGTCTACATTAAGGGTCACAGAGTGGCCAACTTCTTATGAATTTCACACAAATGTTTCACTCTTCCATATAATATTTATTTATTTTCGAGATAAGGTCTCTGTCTCTATAACCTAGGTTAGCCTTCAACTCACAATCCTGACTCAGCCTTTGGAGGGCTGGGATCACAGGTGTATACCACTATGCTACAATCTTTTTTTGCATCAAAGTTCATATGCAACTGCTAAAGTTTCAGCGTGAACACAAAAATGTTAATTGGACAACCCAGTGTCTTTTTTTTTTTTTTTTTGCCAGTCCCAGGACTAGAACTCTGAGCCTGGGTTCTATCCCTGAGCTTTTGTGCTCAAGGTTAGTGCTCTACTAACAAGAGCCACAGCTCCATTTCTGGCTTTTGGATAATTAATTGGAGGCAAGAGTTTCTTGGACTTCTCTACCCAGGTTGGCTTCAAACTGTGATCCTCAGATCTCAGCCTCCAGAGAAGAGAGGATGACACAGGCAGGAGCCATAGTTGTCAGGCCCAGCGTCTCTTTTCCTCCTTTGTAGCCTCAGGGGTAGAGGGGTGTCTTCTGTAATCTTCAGCCTTAGGGTAGCCACACCTTCCACACTGAGATTGCCAATCATCTTTTTTATCTGTAATACCAAAGGTGTGTTTAGTCAGACTTTGCTCACTCTTGACCGGAATCCAGGACTGGATTTTAGCTCTTGACTTGGGAAGTACTGGCCTGTTGTAGCTAGGCCAGAGCTGTTCCACATACAGCAATCAGGAAGCAGAATGGAGCCGGAACCGGAAAGGCCAGGATGAGATACATTTCCCACAAACACATCCCCTCTCACCTTTACCAACCTGGTCCCATTTATCACCTCCCAAATATCCTAGTGACTCAGGAGGATGAGATTTGAGGTTCACTGTTCAAAGTCAGACGGAGCACGAAAGTCCCTGAGACTCATCGCCAATTAAGGACTCCCCCCCCCCAAAAAAAGCCAGAAGTGGAGCTGTAGGGCAAGTGGTAAAGTGCTGGGCTTAGAGCACAAAAGCTCACGGACAGTTTCCTAGGCCCTGAGTTCAAGCCCTAGGACAGGCACAAGAGAGAGGAGGGAGAGAGAGAGAGAGAGAGAGAGGAGAAAATGCTATAGATTTTTTTTTTTGGCCAGTTGTGAAGCTTGAACTCTGGGCCTGAGCTCTTCAGCTCAAGGCTAGCGCTCTACCACTTGAGCCACAGCGCCATTTCCCTTTTTCTAGTGGTTCAATGGCACCCGGCAATGATATTCTTTTAGAAAAATCTTCCTTGTTTAGCATCGATTGATAGGGAGTTTTATTTTGACACGTCCACATCTATGCATACAGTGTATCTTGGTCTCACTCACCCACCCCTCCGTCACTCTCGCTCAGTCAGTGCCCCCTTTCCCCAGGCAATCTCAACATTCACCTTCCTTCACCTTCCCCTTTTACTCTCCCTTCTCCTACTAGTACTCCATCTCCAAAATAAACTCCCTTTTCAAGTCCTGCCCAATATTAACTGGTTGTCCTGGTAGTTCTGGCCCTGTGGGGAGGCAGCCAGCTTTGTGACTTCACAAAAACCTATTTTATGACTAGTCTGGACCTGGTGGAGCAGGAGCTAGGTGCAGGAGGCTCCTCTCAGGAACATCATGTGACTTTCCGTAGAATTTCACTCCCAGCTCTGAGGGAATGCAGAATAGCTGCTCAACGGTAAGAGCCCAGGCTACCCTCTGTACCTAGAAATGCCTCTCCTTGATAGCTCTGGTTTCTAGGCCTATGTGAGTACTCCAGACACTATCTCAGAGGTCCAGGCCCATGGCAACCAGGCTTGTAGAGGGGCAGGAAGTGGTTACTGCAGGTGGGAGTGGTGCTGGATCACTGAATGGAGAGGGAGGGACTTTAACCCAGCCACTTCCTATTAGACAAACCTATTCTTCTCTGGGATCTTTCAAAGTGAAATAACTGATGAAATGAGAAATTTGATCTGACTGGCGTCTTCATTAAAATCTGCCCAGTAGTTCTCAGAGTACCTCCAAATGGGGTCAGGTCAGAGATCTCCAAATTCTGTAGAAATGTAACTGCAAATAGACAATGCCAAAACTCCAGAGGCTTTTGGGAGTCTGAAGGCAAGGCCAGTGAAGACATTATTCAATGCCAACTCCATTGTTGTGTCTTCCCAAAGCAATCTGAGGCAAAGTTCTGGGGGTCAGGGCTTGGCCATTCATCCTTTCTCTGCTTCTGGAAAGTCCTGAAAGTATGACACCTCACCTTTTCAAATGGGGGCAGTTTCTTTCTCAGGTTATACCACAAGAGAGGACAGAATAGAGTGCATATGGGTAGGATAGATTCCAGAGATACTCTATCATGAGGCCAAGAAATTTCTCTCTCTTTTTTGCTGGTCATGGGGCCTGAACTCTGGGCCTGGGCACTGTCCCTCAGCACTTCAGCCCAAGGCTAGCACTCTACCATTTGAGCCACAGCGCCACTTCCAGCTTTTTCTGCTTATGCGGTGCTAAGGAATCGAACCCAGGGCCTCATGCATGCAAGGCAAGCGCTCTACCACTGAGCCACCTTCCCAGCCCCCCCGTACCTATCTTTTACGCATGCTTAAAAGTGAGTGTTGGCTGTGAGGATTGATACCTAATGTACAGATGTGTGTGTCTCTGTATCTGGCATGTGCCTGTCTTGTGAAATGTGTTAATGAACTCACCTGGGATGTAGGGGCAACAGGGAAAGCTGAGTGTTGTCCCTTCCCCTTCCCTAGGTGTGTGTGGCTGTGTGGGGGATTTTGACAGGGCGAGAGGGCTACAGGAGTTATATGATGGAGATTCTTAAGGGAGTTGCTGTGGGAAGGCAGTGTGTCTCCTGCTTTGATTCCTGAGGCCTCCCTGGTGCCCCTACTCCTATCACCTACATGGGGGCCCTGCGTAGGCTTCCAAAGAGAAGCAGTGCCATCTGGTGACAGGCTGAGGCAGTGACTCCTGCTCTGATTTCCTTTAAGGGCACTTCAAAAGGCTTTAGGCAGTGGAGGACTTGGGAGTGACTTCTATTCTAGATGGCTAGACTCTAAACACAGAGAAGATACCTCAAGGCTTGAGCATTCTCTTCCTACTCATTTTGTTCCCAGCAGGAAAATTCCAATTTCTTTCTCTCTCTTTTTGAGACAAGGTCTCACTATTATAGACCAAGCTGGCCTAGAACCAGCAATCAATCCTTCTGTCTCAGCCTCCTAAGTGCCGGCATTATAGGCATGTACCACCACACCTGGCTTGGACTTCATTTTTTGGTCCAACTCTAAGGATTCATAACTCTCATGCCCATCCTGTGGGGGTGGTGGTGACAATGAACAAGAGGGGTTGTGACTAAAATACTTGGGTCAGAGCCAAATAAACTGTCAAGTCAAAGTAAACGGCAATAACTCATTATTGTTACAGGAAAGGACCAGACAAACAGAGGTTAAGTGTTTTGTGTCACAGGAGAAGGGATTGTGGAAAGTTGACACATTGATGAACTGCCATCACACATTCTAGAACTTGCGCCGTGCACAGCTACTTCTCTAAGTTTTACTTTAAGGAGGAAGATCTCTCAAGAAAGAGGACAATGAAAATCCATGGGGAATAGAATAAAGAGACTGAGCACTCAGGCTTCTTATGAAGTGAGTTGTAGAATCTGATCATGGTAACAGGCTTGAGTCTGGTCTTCTGCAAATAATGGTGATGAGCACCCCATAGAAATGAACAGAAACGTGCAGGCTTCAAGACAGATAAGAAGTTACATCAGGTGGTAAAGTGGAGGAACATCCTACTCACCTGCGGTGTTTTGTTTTTTGTTTTTGTTTTCAATCTTCAATGTCCCCACAAAGGATTCTTGGGTGAGTCAGTCTTCCGCTTTTTGCTCACTGGCTGGTGATATTCAGCACATCATTTACTATCTAAAAAAAAAAAAAGACGGAATTTAAAACCTCCTGAATTCATCTGGGAGTCTTGAACTTTTAATTCTCTGCCTTCACATAGAATACCTGCCAGTCTATAACAGATGACATCTTGAATGGAAAGACAAAGAAAAACAAAACGGTGAATTCTGTTTAATGAGTAATGTGGTTTCTGATATGCTTGTGGGAATACTTCCTCTGATCCAGGTGTATTCTAGGGAGGATGGGACAAATAGACCACCACAGAACGTCCTCTGGTTGACACACAGTCAGAATAAAGTACTGAGAAAGTATCAGTCGGCTTTGAGTCATGGAGTCCCTCACTTGTCGCTTCCGCCTTCCCAAGCAGCCAATGAACACACAGCAGTTCCCTGTTCCTAGAGGGGAAAACTACATATCCCAGGAGTCCACGCGCAGGGACGCGGAGAGCATAAGCCAATCAGCATACGGAACTTCACTTCCCAGGCATCCCCGGGGCCCTATTTATTTATTTATTATTTTTCTCCTCCCTCCCCTTCCCCTCCCCTCCCTTGGCCGCCATCCTTGCGCCAAGGCGGGCGCGCCCGCGCGCGCGCGCGCTCACGAAGGTACGTAGGCCCTGGCGAGTGACGCATAATATGTGGGCCGCTCTGGAGCCGTGGTCGCGCTGTGTGTGTGAGAGAGAGAGGGAGAGTGCGGGACCTGAAAGCGGGGTGTGTGTGAACTGTGGCCGCTGGCGGGGTCTGGGGGGGGGGGAAGCGGTGGAGCCGCTGGTGAAGGTGAGCGGGAAAAGGAGGGAGACGGCTCTGGCGGGGAGGGAGAGGAAGGAGCCGGCGAGGAGGCAGGACGCGGGGCTGGCCGGGCGGGAGAGTGGGCGCCGGGCTGGGGGAGGGGCGGCACCTGCTCGGGCCACCGGCGGGGACCCGGCCGGGGGGGGGGGGGGGGGGGTGGGGTGGGGAGGGAGAGGGTAGGGGCCTCCGGGGAGGCTGGGCCTGGACGGCCTGACAGGACTTCTCCTCCGGATACCTGGGCCCGGGGGGGGCGGGGCCTCCGTGTTTCTCCAGTTCCCACCCCCGTCCTCACCCCCCCTCCCCCCAGCCCAAAGAAGCTTACCGTGAGTAACTTCCGCCCGGAGTTGCGGGGAACCCCCCCCCCCACCGGCCCCTCCTTGGAGGAGAGGCGACTTTCATTTCTCTTGCTAACCCGCCTTTCCTCTCAGTTCTGTTCCGTACTTGTTGGGCGTCGCGGGTGGAGGGGGGGTGGGAGGCGGTGGGGGGTGGAGAGAGAGAGAGGGGGGGGCGGGGAGTCTCCATCTTCCCGCCGTGCACTGTGTGGACCCCTTTCCCGGTCCGGTGTCTCCGCCTCTAGCCTCAAGTCACCTGGGCGGGCTTTCCCCTCCCTCCCTCCCTCCCTCGCTCCCTTCCTCGCTCCCTCCCTCCCTCCCTCCCTCCGGGCCCGCCTCGTGTCACCACCTCCCTGCATTCGCCGGGCCCTGGGACTGGGCGACGGGGCGGAGCTTTCCGGGCACTCCGCCCTCCACTACGGCGGATTTGGGAATGGAGGAGGAGGAGGGGGTGTGTGTGTGTGCGTTGGTTAAAACAACCCGGAGTCAAAGCTTAGATTGCCCCGCCCAGCTTCCCCGGAGCCCTGGTTTGGGTCGGTGGGGGGGGGGGCGGGAGGAGGGAGAGCAGTATAGTTTCCAGTCGGGGTGTCAGCAGTATGAACTCCCGTCTTTTTTCCTGGACAGTCGGCTTCCTCTTTATTGCAGTGGTAGTGTTCTTCTGGTCATCTAGTTTATTGAGGAAGTAGTTTTGCAGTCACCCACCCACACACGCATGGCCAGACCCCGAAGCCTTTTAATCCGTCAGCATGATTGACTCCGTGTACATGTAGCAAGTGTCCTTCTGTTCCAGCGCTTTGCTAGTGCATCGAATGAGAGGTTTACTGATGAGTGTCATCTATAGCTTCCGTTTTCCAGTTTACTGGTTTGCTTCTAAGGTTTATCTAAGCGTGTGCGACTTTAATAGGAACTTAGTCTATTTTTTGCTTGATGTCAAGATTTGGGTTTTGCATGTAGTAATTCTTCATTACGCATTCTCGCGTGGTGGTATATTTTTGGATGTTGAGAATAGGGAAATCATTATGTACTCAACATTTCAGGGATAGTTTAATTAGCATAGTGTTTTTACTTTCTACTCTAATTGTTAAACTTAATACAGGAGGACTGTGGTAGAATGAATGAACCAACATGTAGTGATTGGAGTTGGTTTATATTACCAGGTGAGTTGATTTGGTGGAGAAGATAGTTGTGGAAAGTAATAAAGTTATACATGATGTCAGGTAATAAGTATGTTTACTTGAAGCTCTAAAATTGGAATTTTCATTTTTAGTCTTGTATGGAGATTGGCTTAGAGTCTATCATAGATTCTATCACTGATTCTACCATCTTTTCACATGCCCCACCCCCTTTAAAATAAGGAAATGGGGAATGTGGCTTAGTGATGGAGTGCTTGCCTAGCATACATGAAGCCCTGGGTTCCATTCCTCAGTAGCATATAAACAGAAAAAGCCAGAAGTGGTGCTGTGGCTCAAGTGGTAGAGCATTCACCTTGAGCTGAAAAGCTGAGGGACAGCACCCAGGCACAGAGTTCAAGCCCCATGACTCAGGGACGGTGCCCAGTTCCCTGAGTTCAAGTCCCACAACTGACCAAAAACAAAAAACAAAATCTAGGACAGAAACAAAAATTTATTAGGAAAGTTACAACCCTAGTAATGTGTAAGAATGTTTCCTTTTTTTTTTTTTTTTTGCCAGTCCTGGGGCTTGAACCCAGGGCCTCGACACTGTCCCTAAGCATCTTTTTGCTCCAGGTTTTCTGGTGGTTCATCACTAGAACTGGGCTGGCTTCCAACATTGTTCCTCAGATGCCAGCCTCCTGAGTAGCTAGGAGCCAGCTTTTTTTTTTTTTAAACAAAACAAAAGAAAACATTAACACCCACTCCAGGGTGTTAACATTACCCAGGCTACTGAGTGCTGGTATTACAGGAGTGTGTGAACAAACTCAATAACTTTTTTTTTTTTCCTGTCAGTTGTGGGGCTTGAACTCTGGGTCTGGGCACTGTCCCTCAGCTCTTCAGCTCAAGGTGAGCACTCTATCATTTGACCCACAGCGCCACTTCTGGTTTTCTGGTGGTTTATTGGAGATAGAATGTCATGGACTTTCTTGCTGGGGCTGCCTTTGAGCCGTGATCCTCAGAACTCAGCCTCCTGAGTAACTCAGCTAGGATTATAGGCATGAGCCATCAGTGCCCAGCTCTGCTCCTTTTCTTTCCTTTCCTTTCCTTTCCCTTCCTTTTCCCTCCCTCCCTACTTCCTTCCCTCCCTCCTTCCCCCTCTTTCTTTCTTTCTTTCTGCAATCATTATGTACTAACCTTACCACTTGAGCTACAGTGTCACTTCTGTCCTCATCTGTGTATGTGGTACTGAGGAACCAAACCCAGGGCTTCATTCATGCTAGGCAAGCAATCTACCACTAAGCCACATTCCCAGCCCCTGTATCAGTAACTTTTAAAACTCATAATAGGTAGCATGTTATGCACAAAGTTTTGCACTTTGTTTTTCTTACTAGATAATATATTTTTGAGAGTTGGTGCAATAAAAAAAAAAACCTCAACTTTTTCCAGTTTTGTTTTTTGGTGTTGGTAGAACCTGGACCTGTGCTGTATCATTCCTCCATGATAAGAAGGCTGAGGGGCTGGGAAGGTGACTCAGTGGTAGAGTGCTTGCCTTGCATGCATAAGGCCCTGGGTTTGAGTCCTCAGCACCACATAAGCAGGAAAAGCCCAAAGTGGCACTGTGGCTTAAGTAGTAGAGTGCTAGCCTTGAGCTAAAGAACTGAGGGACAGCGCCCAGGCCCAGAGTTCAGGCCCCACACCGACCAAAAAAAAAAAAGGCTGAAAGTTTTCCCCCTAAAATCAGAATCCCCTTCCCTCTTTCCCTCTTTCCCCCTTCCTTCCTTCCTTCCTTCCTTCCTTCCTTCCTTCCTTCCTTCCTTCCTTCCTTCCTTCTTTCTCTGTGTCTGTCTGTCTCTCTCTTTGTCTCTGTCTGTCTATCTCTCTCTCCTTGTGCTGGGGCTTGTACTCCAGGACTCACGCTCTTGGCTTAGCTTTTTTGCTTATAGCTAGTGCTATCTATGGATCTTCCAACGATCTTTTCCCCAGAAATGGAAACTAGGGCTGGGTATGTACCTCAGTGGTAGAGCACTTGCCTAATATAGTCAAGGTCTTGGGTTCAGTCCTTAGCACTGAGAAAGATAAAATTAGTATATAATTACAAGGAGCTGTAAATAGCTACACTAGTCTTGAGAAAATAGGCACAGTTGGATAAAGCACAGTTCTGATTTCAAAACCTGCCACAAAACTAATCAAAACAATGTGTTATTGGTATAAGGATCAATATATACAGAAAAATACAGTAAAACTGAAAGTCCAGGAATAAGCTCTCACACTTACGGCTAATCAGTATACACTGTTGGTGGTAGGACCCAATAGTGAAAATAAAGGGTTTCTAACAAGTGCTGCTGAAATGTTTGGATAACCTCAATCAAAAGAATGAAGTAGATCAGTATCACATACTATATGTAAAGATGAACTCAGAATGGATTAAAGATCTAAGTGTAAGAGCTTAAACTATAAAACTTTTACACATTCTTAGACATCAAAACCCAAAAGTTATTTTCTTAATACTAAATCTTCTACTTTGTGAACACAAATTGTCTTTTCATTTATTTAGGTTTTTTTTATTTAGGTTTCAGAAATGTTTTGTAGTTGTCAGTGGGTAAGTCTTGTACCTTTTTGGTTCATTTATTTCTAAGTATTGTTTTTGGTGAATGAAATTGAAGCTTGGTTTATGGTAAATGCCGGTGACTCCAGCTTTTGGGAGGCTCAGAAGGATCATGAATTCAAGTTCAGTTTGGACTATATAACCAGATCTTGTCACAAAAATACAATTCTGATTGTTGATTGATAGCATTAAACAAGTAATTACCCTGTAACTTTGTTGAATTTGCTTATTAGCTTTAAAAATGTGTGTGCTGGTACTGAGACTTGATATCAGAGCCTTAGCATTTTCACTCAAGGCTGGTGTTCTAATACTTTAGCCACACCTCCACTTTCTTGTTGTTGGATGTTTCTTTTTTTTTCTCCTGGTTGGTTGGAGATAAGAGTCCTATGAACTTTCTTTCTCTGCCTGGCTGTGAACTGTTGATTTTCAGATTGCTGTCTCCGGATTACAGGATTACAGGTGTGAGGCATTGGTGCCTGGCCAGTTCTAGGTTCTTATCCTTTACCTTTTTGTGGACATTCTTTTCTCATTTTTGTTTATTATTTTTGCCAATCCTGGGGCTTGAACTCAGGGCCTGGGCACTGCCCCTGAGCTTCTTTTGCTCAAGACTAGCACTCTACCATTTGAGGCACTTCCAGCTTTTTCTGTT